GGAGGCTCTTCTCCCCTGAGCTTGTTTCTCAGTTCTTGTTTTGCTTGCAAGAAAAGGAAGAATTGAAGTGACAGGCAACATGTAGAGTGGAAAGGAAATAGCAAGTTTATTTATGAAACACACATGGGCACAAAGCTGTAAGCAGGCACCCAACTAGTCTAAATGCCCCACGTATAGAGGAAAAAAGTTGTAAGCTTTCCGATACACTTGAGCGAAGGGTACAAGTGGGCACTCAGCTAATCTGAGTGTGCTAACTATTGGGATTCAGGTGCTATATACCTTAGCTGGCTTTTCGGTTCCCCCTCCTTCTTTCACTTCCAAACCTTGGAAATAACTTACAGCTACAAAGGCTTTCTTTCTTGGTGAAATTACTGCAGAGGCTCCCTTTCCCAGCACAGTCTCAAGGACTCCCCTCCCCCTGCACTATCCCTGCTTGTGATGTTCAGAACACCTGGCAATCTTATCAGACCAGGCTGAGGATGGCTGAGTTACTCTAATTAGTGACACAGGACTTCCTTTGGTGTCCAGCCTTCTGTTTTCTTTGGTAGAATGTAATGACAGGGGCTCTGCTTTATTTTCCCTGTGGCCACTCATTTCTAGCTGCTACCTACAGTAACAGGTAATGATGCACATATTAAATTTACATTTACCTTGTTACTTAAAATGTGAAAGTAAGGTCTTTCCATGACAGTACTTACTCCCTAGAATTCTAAAGTACATATGCGCCCTGGCTGGTGTGGCTTAGTGCATTGAGTGCCAGCCTACAAACCAAAGGGGTGCTGGTTTGATTCCCAGGTCAGGGCACATGCCCGGGTTGCAGGCCAGATTCCCAGCTGGGGGTGCATGAGAGGCAACCACACACTGATGTTTCTCTGCCTCTCTTTCTCCTTCCCTTCCCCTCTGTCTAAAAATAAATAAATAAAACTGCAAAAAAAAAAATAAAGTACCTATGTACCATAATGGATTAGGCACTTCTCCTGCTTATGGACACATAAGTTTCCTATTGGCTGCTATGATTAAAAGAACTGAAATCAACATCTTTGAACATGAATTCTTTGGGAAATGTATGTTTTCTAATAAGAAAGACATAAAATAAAAGTTGGGTTAATGTGCAAAGGATATGAATATTTAAACTTTTATAAATATTGCCAAATTTTTATTCCAATATATTTTCTTACAAATTAATGTAATATAAAGATGCTACACTTCCACAAACATTATTTTACCAATATTTTAAATTTTGGTAAAATGTTGAGTGTAAAGATGTTACAGCAAAGCTATTTTATGTCTCCCATTTTCTCAGTAGCTTAAACAGAAAATTAACTTAATCCTTCACCAATATTAAGCTGGATGTATTCAGTGATGTCCTTAGTAAAAGGATTCCTCTGGGCATGATTTAAAATTCTGAAATTTCATCACGAAATTTTCCTGTTACTTTGAGATGCAAGGATTCTGTCAGAATAACTAGGAGCCAGGGGAAATGACCAAATAGAACACCCTAAGTCTGTGAGGGGCACAGGGAGCCGCCTAGGGAGAGCCATTGTCAGAGCCCATGAGAAAGACAAAGAGCAAAAGCAACTCCAGAGAGCCCTAGGCAAGTTAGCAGTCAGTGCTATGAGCATAGAGTTCAGTGCAGGGAGAAGGGTCCAGAAGGAGAGATGGGGGAGAGTATATATGGATGGTACTAGACAAATTGTATAAATTGGCTTGTGAAATATTGAAATCCTCATTAGCAGCTGGATGTCTGAATAAATACATCATTGGGACACGTGGACCAGCAGCAAGCCAGAAAACACTCCCTGCCTTACAGCCACCAATATATCATGTCAGGAGGCACATAGCTCTCTTGCATCATTTCGTTGAGCAATACTCTTGAGTAACTTAGTAGTGCAGGACATCCTTGCCAACGTCGCAGGGCTGGAAGCTATCTGGCCCTAAACACCATAGTAACTGTGCAGATACAGGTCTGGGAGTTCACATGCCTTGAGGGTGATGCAGACTATGTCCATATTTCAGGCAGCCTCCCATGATTTCTGAGGTGAACACACATTATAAAAAGAAAAAAAACAGCTCTCCTGTGGCTATGGATGCTAGCTTATGTTACACCAGATACTATCAAACACTGAAAAGCCCTGGATTAGATAAAGAGCCATGTGAAGGGCCTGTTTCCACCAGGGCTCCAGAATGACTGATGTAACAGCCTGGGAGATTTTGCAGTCAGTAGGAATGTTCTGTACAGGGGGAATGCAGGTGGTTCTGAGTTGTCCACTTAGGAGCTGGACACAGCATTCAGAAGAAAGACATAATGAAAACCTACTCAATAGGCCACATTCCAGAGATGGGCAGGAGGACTGTAGTGTACATCTGAACATATAATTTATTAACTTTGTCTACACTACAAGTACCTGCATTAAGATTTCATCATCCAGGCACCCGTTGCCAAAAAGCAACCACTTCGAACATGACCATCTCAACCATCTCTAATAAACACACTGCCAGGCCCTGCACTAGACATAAAGAGAGCCAGGCCGCTGCACCCTTCACCCCAACCGAGGCTACATTGTTTCACAAATCTTGGTTGATTTCAGTAACTGACCATTTCAGGTACTTGGTTTTCCCCCTCTCATTCCTGTGCTTTAGATCCTTGCTCTGATAAAGAGTGAACCCATGCAACCCTAGGCACCCACACTCAACCCCCCAAAAAGCAGAACCCCAGGAGCTCTCCCTGCCTGCCCTCTCCCCTCTGTTCGCTCTCACCCCCACCCTAACTCCCTGTGTTGCCCCAGTTGGGCCATGTAACGTCCAGGTCTTGGAAGGAATAAACTTGACTCTTCTCAAAGCTTCTGCTGATTATTGCCTAGGGACGTCTTGCAGTCACAATAAGAACCACAAAGGCTGGGCCGGCCACAACATTGGTTATTAGCAGGCTGAGATCAGTACAAAACAAGGCCACGCAGGGCAAGGTCGGGGAGAGGCTGCTGCGACTCCTGCAACCACCGCTGGCACTGGAGGCAGATGCCAGCACCTGGGCAGAGTCAGCTACACCAGGGCTCAGAGCTGGAGGAGCCAGAATACAGCTCAGACAATCCCCAGATTCTGTTTCACTCTCATTTCCCCTTCCCTCTTTAGGCCCGCCACTGGTACCTTGCCATGTGGTCCTTCTTTTTCTCCCCTGAGAGACTTTATGCAGTACTGAGGAGAGACAAGGAGTAGGGGGACAGAAGACCTGCCTCTCAGGCTAGGAGTGGGAACAATGCAGGCCCTAGGTGAATTCAGACCAGGGTTCCTGTCTCAGTCCTGTCACTCACTAGCAGTAAAATCTTGGGGAAATTACTGAGCGCCAGGAGCCTTAGGTTCATCACCTGCCGAATGGGTTTGCTAGGCCCCGTCTTGCAAGAAGGACTGCTGGAATGCATGCAAAGGGAGGAAAGCATCTGGCACAGCACCTGACATCGATTCTTTCATGACGGGCAGGGATATCTAATGTGACTTTGTCCCCAGACCCTACTACCCCCTTTTGTGGGACTTTGTTTTCATCCGGGATGTTCTCAGATAACATGCAACACAACGGGAGGCAGAATGTCAAATCAGGCCAAGATGCAGCTTCACAAATAAAGCTGGCTATTTTTTTCCTCTTAGAGGATATATTAACTTGGGTATGGGTTACTCCTCCCCAGCTGCTATCACTCAGAGTTCCCAGTATTTAAGTCCAAGGCTGGCTCCTTCCTTCCCTCCCAAGTACTCATCCATGCAAAATGCTATTTTCATTCAGTTCACTGCCACCTAAATCTAGACATGGCTTTACTGACTGGCCTAATGACAGTCAAGATAACCTACCTTTACTGTCACTTTAATGGAGCAAGCTCTGGCTCTCCCAGGCCAGGGAAGAGTGCCAGCCTAGTAGTGGCTTCTGGGGACCACCTCAGGGGTCTATCACACTAGCCTCGAGAAGTCATTGCAGTGGCTGTGTTGGAGCACCTGGCTCATGCATGCGCTGTGTTAGCTGCACTGGGACGAGAGGCCAGGACCCCTCCCGTACCCACCCCAGGTGGCAATTTCTGTCTGGCTTATCCGCCATCCAAAAGTAACTAAGCAGTTTTCTCTTCCAGGCTTTCCTCTTACTTCAAAAAGCACCCCCTCTGAGAGCTTGGCCCCTGCCACCACCCACAAGCTTAACTTGTAATTAACTCCTGCAGAAGGAATTGCACTTTCCCAAAGCCCCAGCCTGCCTGGGCTCAGTGCATTTTCACTTGACTGCTCGCATCGGGAGTCTCACCTCCTCACTCCCTGTTTGCCCTTGTTCCCCAGCTTGCACTGGAACCATTCCCTACCATGGTTTTGGCGCTGGTGTGCCTTGCACGTCCTGGTACCTTCACTGTCAGCACAGTGCTCTCCACAGAGAACATACACCATTACTCTTTGGCAAATAAATGAGTCAGTGGACTTTTCTAAAATTTATTTATTAACATCTGCTAAGATTAGTTCTACTTCCTTGAATAAGCCAAGCAAACCCAGGTACAGCTCTTTTAATTTTACACAAGAAACGAAAATGGTTAAGAAATGCAAAAGCTAAACACCCGTTACATGTTTTTTCTCTGTTTTGCTGAGGGATTCTTTCACGTTTCCAGGGAAATTCCTACACCAGTGTCACCTTATTTTTTCTTCCAGAGCATAAAATAAGATGAAAGGTCCCCCCAATATTTTGATATTTCAAAACATCAAAACACATTCCCCCACCCGATAAACAGCGATGCATGCGACGCGAATTTGCTTCATCAACTTAGATCCCAAAGCTCGTGAACTCCCTCACTACAAGCAACAGCACTTGAAACACACCAAAAGGGGGAAAAACAAGGTAAGCCTCCAGGTCCCCTATGCAGCATAGGAAGACAGAGCTGCTGTGCACTGTCTTCTCCCCAGCCTGGCCCTCACTCTGGCCCTCCTCTCCTTGGAACTGTGGCGCCCTTTCCAGACACACAGTGAGGATTCGGGCTCGTTCTTCAGCTGGGGAAGGAGAGGCTACAGACTACTTCCGTGCCTTGCAGGGGGCAGCCGCACGACCCCCGGGGGGCAGCTCTGGCCTCGGCTTTCTCTCTGTCATCTCTTAAAGCCTCCTCATACCAGCATGAGAAGGAAGTGGGGTCAGTCCCTTTGATCTTGGCCAAAAAATTCTAGAACTTGCAGCTTGCTGGTCTCAGCATGGGCCCTGGGACCCCACATGAACGTGTAGCGTGGAGGGTCACTGTCAGGCACCTGCTGGTACAGCAGGTAATTTTCCCGCACCCAAACTTCGGTGATGAGCTTCCTAGGCTCTCCATAAATGAAGTGCTTCCTCCCAGGATACACTCCCAGCATACTCAGGAACTCCCAGATGTTTTGCTCAAGGGCGCAGTTGCCGTCTAAAAAGATCAGACCCAGGATGATTATCAGGAGGCCGTTTTTAGGCATGCTCTGGAGGTCACCGAGCATCTCATCATAGGTGAGATCCAGTGAGTTGACAAGGACATAGGAGTGGGTGGCAGGGTCCACTTCCTTCACATCAACACCAGAGATCACCTCCAAGCACTTACAAGCCTTCTGAAAGATCACAGGGAATTGAGCCCTGTCCCTTCTCTTAACAACTTTCAGCAATTCTTCCCTTGTAACAGACCTCCTCAGTCGATACTTAAAGACCATGAAATGCACCAAATTGGCCACCTTCTCTTCTAGTGGATCTATGTCCATAGAATCGGGGTCTGCAGAGGCCTGCGGGGAGCTTGTCTCCTCACTCTCTGGGCCACCGGAGGCTCCATCGGACATGCTCTGCGCCGCATATCTCTGAGGACTCAGGGGAGGACCTGGTGTCTGGGCAGCAGGCTGCTCCTGCTCTTCTTCCTCTTCCTCTTCCTCCTCCTCGTCCTCTTCCTCCTCCTCCTCCTCTTCCTCCTCTTCCTCCTCCTCGTCCTCCTCCTCCCCCCTCTCTATCTCCATCTCTCTCTCTGCCACCTTTTCCTCTTCTTCCTCCTCCTCTTCCTCCTCCTCTTCCTCCTCCTCCTCCCTCTCTATCTCCATCTCTCTCTCTGCCACCTTTTCCTCCTCCTCCTCCTCCTCCTCTCCAGTACCTGGCATTACAGGAGAGGAAGGAGTAGAGGAGGAGCTGGAGAGGTAGGAGAAGCTGAAAGAGCAAGAGGATTCCTCCTCCTCCTCCTCCCTAGGTACGGAAAGCTGCATCTCACTTTGGGCCACAGAGCTGGGCTCAGCTGTGAGGCGTGGATGCTTTGAAAAGCGAGACATGTTGAGTCTTGTTGGGAGCCGCAGGCGCAAGTGTGAGCAGGAGTTTGGGAGGTGAGATCCCACGAGCCTGGGGGAGAGAGGGAGAGGGTCAGCGGCCTCAGCAGAGAAGTGTGCCCTTGGCAGCTCTGAGGAAGGCTCACTTACAGGTCTCCTTGTTAAGGGGTGCTCTAAGGCCTCACAGGGAGGGCTCCTGTCTTCCCGGACGGTTTGTCTCCTAGGAACCTGTGGGAAGATACCAGAAAGCTCTCGAAGGGGCAGCTGGCCAGGCTGGCCCAAGGCTTCCCGGGCTGACCGTGAGCAGGCAGGGTCTGGAACTGTGGGTGGGGTCCTTGGCAGACACTCAAGCCATGCACCTCACACTGACTCCTAGCTCTGCTTGGGCCTCCTCTGCTCTGCCGACCTGGGCACCCCTGCCTCACACCAAGGCCGCCTCCTCATGGCTCCTGGACCCCTCTCCCCAATCGGAGGGCTTGCCTTACCCCTTACCTCAGATGCCCACTGGGGCCTGGGGCCCCTCTCTTGTGTACTGAGTCCAGGCCCTTCAGGACAAGTCCTTACCTCCCTGAGCACCTTGGGCAAAAGTGACGAGGTACCGTAGGTTTCCACCCCCTGCCAGGTCCTTCCAGTGCTGACGGCAAGGGCTGGACCCCAGCAGTTCTGTGGTGGGGCTATCCCCACTCCTCCCCAAACCCCAGTATTTGTCTTTCCTCCTGAGAGGTCCTGACAGGCCCCCTCACTCGTGAGTTGAGGACGTACCCTCGCTTTTCTGACATACCTCCCTCACCCATGGAGAGAGTCAGAGCGTCTCCTCGCCCCCGCCCTGCCTAGGTCTTCCTAGAGCTGAGAACAGAGGACAGCCGGGCTCTGCACGGTCTCTTCTTTCTAGGGTGGGAAGTACCTTTGTTCCTCACCAAGGGTCCTTTCCTGGACTCCCGCTAGAGGTGTGACTCCCCCTCTTCAGACCTGATGTGGCCGGCGCAGCTGACCTGCCTTTGTACTCAGACAAAGGCCCTGTCCTCCCTGAATCCAGGAAGACAAAAGGAAAGACACATCACATCCAGCCGCTCCGCTCCTGCGTGTGGTCTCCCAGGGCTGACGGCAGGAGCTGAAGCCCACCTGTGCTGGGATGGGGGCTCCCTCTTTCCTCACTCGAGCTGTTTCCTCTTGGCTCCTGGCAGGGCCTCGGCCCGTCTCCTCTGCTGACTTGAAATCAGCCTCTCAGACCCAGGCTTCCCCTCCCAGAAACACCTCCACCCACACCATGCAGAAAGTGAGGGCGCGCCCCATCTCTGCACTCCTGCCCGGATCCTCCCAGGGTGCCTACTGGGGACAGGGTGGGATTCTGTGAGGCCCCTTCTGTCTGAGTTGGGGGCCAGGCACCCTCAGTCCTCCTTCAAGGTCCTTACCTTACCTTGACTCCTCACGATGCTGGGACTCTTCCCTCCGCTGCTGTCACCAGCTCACACCAAGGCCTTCCCCTTCCTGGGACACTCCAAAGTAAAAAGACAATAAAAGCAGACACCGCTGCCTGGCGTCTGTTCTGGCATGGGGCATACACTCAATCCTCCCTCAAAATGTGTCCTCATGCCTGTTCCCGGCCAGGTCTGCCCTGCCCTCCACTGACCCGAAGCTCCCCCTCTGACCAAGGCCTCACTTCCTGGAAGGACTTTATCCCCTTGACTCCTGGTAGAGCTTAGAGCAGATGTGAGAGTTCCTCACCTCCGGCCATGCCTGCTCTGATCCTCCCAGGGCTGAGAGGTCCTTCTTTTGGGGGACAGCAGCCTTCAGGCCTCACCAAGGGTCCCTACCTTGATGCCGGGCAGAGCCGGAGGCCGCGCCCTCTGTTAACCTGAGGTCACACATCTCAGAAAAGGCCTCGGCTCTCTCTGACTCCCAAAGCGGGAGTCAGAAAGCAACATATTTGACAACCTTGCTGTGTGGTCTCTCAGAGCTGATGGCAGGGTTGAGTTGCTGTGAGGCCCCCTCTCTGTGGGGTGGCCGGTCCGGCACATCCTCGGGCATCAGAGTCCTCATTTTGACACCTCGCAGGGTGTGATGCGCCTCCCTCTGCCGAACTCAGGCCACACTCGTGAGAACAGATTTTCACCTTCCCGAGACCCCGCCACCACCACCAACCCCAACAACAGGGTAAAATAGTGACACAGGCCCATACTGAGTGACCATGTCCCTTGTCTTCCCACGTGGACAGGAAGGGCAGAGGATAGCTGGACACTCACTGCAGGGAGACCTCTCGGTGCCTCAACTGACTCCCCACCCCACTATGGCCTTGGACCCCTCCCCATGCCAAGCTGCCCGTGCTCCTTCACACCCAGCAGAGAGAAGTAAAGAGAGGCCACATCCCGCCACTTCTGCTCAGCGTGTCCTAGGGCTCAATCCCATAGGGCAGTGGGGCAGTGGGGCAGTGGGGGCCGTCTTCTGTCCTGCCACAGTGCATTCCATGCCTCCTCAGATGAAGGCCTCGCTTCCCAGAGGCAAGCCCCACTACTTCCTAGAGGAAGTGAGAAAGCACCACATGGCACCCCCACTGCCTGAGTCCTCCCATGGCTGACAGGGAGCAGAGTGGGGTTTTTACAGAGCCCGAAGGCTCTCATCATCCACGCTGAAATTATTCATATCGGTATTGATTTCTGACAGGGGCCTGCATCTCCTCCCTTCTGCTGACTGAGGTGGGTCCCTCAGCCGAGGGCCTCCATTTCCCTGAGATGTCAGAAAAAGGACGTCAGTCTGGGATCAAAAGGGGCCTCTTTCCTCAGGTCCCTTCCAGGTCTTTTCAGTGCTCATGGGAGGGGCACTCTTCTGTGGGGCCACGGCAAGCTGGATTGGCAGGTCCTGTCACTCCTCACTCAAGGTTCTTTCTCACCTTGGAGCCTGGCAGAGCCTAGGCCTCTTCCCCCTACTGACCTGAGACTCCGCTCCTCAGAAAAAGTGTCATGTTCCCCCAGACCCCCAAATTGTAAGTCTTTGGCTATCAGAGCTAACCACAAAGGGAGGGCAGTGGCAGGGTATGAAGGTGCCAGGAGGCAGAGGTTGGGGCACCCGGTCTGTGCCGAGTTCCCCCGTCAGTCCTTTCACAGAGGGAAGTAGCAGAGGCAGGGTACCCGTCTTCTGACCCGAGTCCTACAACCGAAAGTCGAGGGTCCCTGAGATTCCCAGCATGGAAGGAGGGATGGGACCCACCCTAGTCAGGAACCCTGCCTGTGGTCTCTCAGAAGTAATAGCAAGTGCACCTCAGGGCTTTCTCCTCCACCCCCCACCCTACAGACCCGTAGGCTGGGTGGAAGGTTTTCCTCCCTTAGGCGATACTAGGAACAGCCTGGGACTCCTCCCACTGGTGACTGGACACCTGGCAGGCAGACGAAACCTCATCTGCCTCAGGGTCCTGAGACAACAGAGCCGAACCACCTTATCTGACCACCTAGGTTTGAGGCCGCCCAGGACTGAGGGTCCCGGCGGGATGGAGCTTGGCCCCCTACCCTCTGCCTTCAGAGGTGTCCCTCTTCTTCCTCACGGCCCTCACCTTTACTCTAGGCAGAGCCTAGCCCTAATTTCTCCCTCTTTTGACCCCAAGTCCACACCTCAAAGAAAACCTCGCATCCCTCAGGCCTATGAGGCGAGAGGGCCAGATACTCCAAACTCCTCCGCCCTGTGGGGGCGCCCCAGGAACCCCTGCGGGAACCACGAGGAGCTGGAGTCCCTATATGTGCAGCGGGTGGTGCCTCCATGTTTTGGGGGGGGGGCCCTGGCCTTGATGACTGGCGAGGCCCAAGGCACCTCCATCTGCCCCCGTGAAGCACCAACCCTCAGACTCCATGAAGGAATATTCAGGGACTGTCTAGCTTTCTTTCCCGGGGTTCACAGTAAGGGTAGCGGGGGGAGGGGCGGTGCGAGAGATTCTTCTATGTATGGGGTCCCACCCCCCCACCTCCCCTTGGTGTCGTCCTTAAGGTCCTGACCTGAGCGGGACCCCTTCAGAAGAAGCCTCTTGTCCCTCTGACTCTCAAAAACGTAAGCCGGGCAATGCCATAGCCCAACACCCGCGTGTGGGTTTTCCCGCGACTGGTGCCGCAGGTGGGACCGAGCTTGTCCCCCAACCCTCTATAGTGGCAGGTCTCCCCGTCTTCCTCAGGTTCTCACCTTGGCACCTGCCGGAGCCCAGGACTTTTCTCTCTGGTTTCCTCACTCCGCACCCTTCCGAGAAAACGCCACGTCCCTCGGTCTTCTGAGCTGGAAAGACCAGACACGCCAAATGCCAGGAACCTGCCTGGGGCACCTCCCCGGACGTCTGCAGGGGTGTTCAGCAGCCCGAGCTCTTATATGTGCAGTGGGCGGTGCTCCCGTGCATTCCTCAGGGTCCTCGCCTTGATGATTGGCCAGGCCCAGGACCCGCCCCGTCTGTCCATCAAAAGCGCCACCCCTCAGACTCCGTGAAGGAATTCCAGAAACAGAACATCCGGGCACCTGGCCTGGCTTTCTCGGGGTTCACGAGAGGGGCGGGAGGCAAGTGCAAGGCTCCTCTACCTTTGGGAGCCCCGCTCACACGTCCCTTGAGGTCCTTCTGAAAGGGCTGACCTGAGTCGGACCCCTTCAGGAGAAGCCACTTGTCCCTCTGGCTCTCAAAGACCTAAGGCAGGAAATGCCGTGTCTGAACACCTGTGTGGGGGTCATCCCGGGCCTGAGGCCGCAGGCAAGACCGAGCTTGGTCCCCACCCTCAGTGGTGGCAGGTCTCCCTGTCTTGCTCAGGTCCTCACCTTGACACCTGCCAGAGCCCAGGACTTTTCTTCTCTCTTGTATACAAGCCTCACTCGGCACCCCTTAGACATAGTAAACCTCACGTCTCTCCTGCTTCTGAGAGGAAAGTCCCTGGACGCCACCCACAGGAATACTGCCTGGGGTCTTCTTGGGCCACTGCGCGGACACGGCGGGACCATCACCCCCCACTGTGTGTGCATGGAAAAACTACTCGGTCCTAGCTCAGAGTCTTCACCTTGGCTCCAGTCAGTCTCCCCCTGGGCAGCTTCCCTCTGCATACCTGTGTTCCTGAGCCCGGTATCCAGCTCCTCCCCACCCCGAGGACATCAAGGTGCAGGAACCGGTGAGTGAGCATCAGGGCGCCAGTATGTGCCAGCGCTACCCAGGGTTGGCACAGGGCAGGTCAATGTACTCCTGCCCTCGCCCCCTCTAACCCCACTCTGTCTGAGAATGTAGGCGTACTTCCAGACCAGTCCAAGGTATTTATTACGTTTACTCCTGACGGGGCTGCCATGTCCTCCCTTTGGCAGACCTGATGGTGCACCCCTCAGTCCATGGCCCTGGTTCACGGAGACTCCCCCTCTGGACTGAGGACACAGGGGAGGGATCGCTTCTGCCTGACTGTTCTGCCCCGCCCCCCTCCCGCTGACACCATGGGCAGCTTTCTGTGGGCTCCCCTCTGCCTAGGAAGGAAGGATTTTTCTATTGCATACATTTCATTCTACAAAATGTATCTTCCACATGGACGAGGCTGGACGGCTTTGATTTGGGGGTCTCCTGCCTCTTTGGAGCTTATCTAATCAGTGCATTGTCCAGGACAGTGATTTTCTTTTCTATAACCCCGCTTCCTTGCAGAAGGGAATACATTGTGAGATAGATTGTGGACATTGTACATGTCTACCAAGTGTATATGCAAAATGGGTGTGATTCATGGGAATACTAATCTATGTGTAGTTCCTTCCTTAATTCCGCCATAATAATGTATTTTTTTTTTTAAGGAAGACCAGCCGTAGAGTGGTTTTAGGTGATTTTTAGCAGCGCCCAGTCATACTGCCACCATCACTCCCATCTTTCCCATTGTCCTGCCATTACCCAGGGCCACCGGCATTTGTGATGTTAGGCATCGCCTTGGATTTCTGTAGTGGAGCAGAAGCAGAAGTTCCAAACCCTTGCCTCTTCCTATTGTGCCCTCTGCCTTCTATTAACAAGTG